CGTGGAGATTATGCACCCGCTGACTTGGCAGGGAGCCATTCCCCACTTGTAGAACAACCTGGCCCTCTTGAGACTCTAGAGGGTCACCCTCGTCTGAGCTTGGCCTGCGGCAGGGCAAGTGGGCTCCCCGCCCGCGTGGATGTTACCTGAAGGCTCTGATTGGACCAAAGTAGCAATACCATGGAGATCCTTGCACTTCGGCACCAATGTGATGTGAGCCCTCCCATCTCCTTACCGACGTACCTCGCGGGTTTGGGTTTGGAGGGACCTGATGCGTGCCGATGCGCAGGCCAGCGCCAAGGTTGCGTGGCCTTGTGTGAGATGCCTGGACTGGGAGGTTCCTCGTTGTCATTATAAACCCTGTGGCGTTAAGGGTTTGGTAACTCGCTGTGGACTCTCCCCGTGGAATCGGTAGCTGCAGCTACTCTTGTCCCCCCTCTGGCCGTGCGCGGGCACCTCTCTGGGTGGGCACTTGTACGCCAGGTTGACTGGAGAACCCTGTGCTCGGAGCTACTCCACTGGCTGACCACCATGGAGTACCCTGGGCCGGTCTTGCCTTGATTGTTCTTGCTGTTAAGTCCCCACTGGCTGACCTCCATGGGGCTTATGCCCCCTGTGCCGGGCGCGGACACCTCTCGGGGTGGGCACTTGTACGCCAAGGTGACTGGAGCACCCAAAACTCGGAGCTACTCCACTGGCTGACCACCATGGAGTGCCCTGGGCCGGTCTTGCCTTGATTGTTCTTGCTGTTAAGTCCCCACTGGCTGACCACCATGGGGCATATGCACATCTTTCATCCTTTGTAGGGAGTCTGACTTGCAACATCCTTTCGCCATTGAGTGTCGGTTGTCTGTCCTTGACAACGTGTACGTGATCCGAACCTCTTCTGATGACCTCGGTTTGAATAACCGCTGTCGCACCAGTGGCTACATGATGGTGGTTTTGAGAATCTGGCAATGTCGCAATTTGCGATTCCCCCACAAGCTCTGTGCTTCCTTGTGAACCGGGACTTCATTGACGACCTCGAGTACTGAGTCCGTGGGGTATCTAGTAGTTCAGCGCGATTGCTCGCTTTGTTTCTTTGGTGTTTGTTTGCTTGGTGGTTGCTTGTTGTGTCTGGTGGATTGTGTGCGCTGACTTTGTTTCACCCTTTACGTCGAGCCCAACAAGACCGGCCTACTGTGCTACTGATGTAGTAAAGAGGCGTCACGCGCAAAAGAAGCCCTGGGCTGGTCTGCAGTGCTTACTTGTAAGTCCCAGTGGCTAACCACCATAAGGCGCACGCACGCTTGTAATAGAAAGTTTCCATGGCACTCCAACCTTCTTGGCAACTGTGCAACTTTAAGGCGCTTGAGCTCTCGGCCTTGTTGTTGACCCTGCCGTCTTCTCTTGCCTTGCGGAAGAAAGATTTGTTAGCATGCAGACAGTATGGGCCCGTCTTGCTGACTTTTTGGCAATCGGCTTAGTACCTTTGGCCACTTTCAAATCCTCGTTACTGGCGGCATCACAAAGGCCTAAAGCATACTTGTGGCAACTCCTTCTCGCTAATCCCCCACTTAGAAATGCCAGTTGGAATGAAGCCCCCTATGTGCCGTTTCATTAAGGCTTGGGCTGCATGCCACATCGTCGGAATGGCGCCTGTATTTGCCAATATTGCACCACACCTTTGTCCCAATACTGAAAGGGGGAAGGTGGTAAGCGCGGCAGCAAGGGCCAAGGGCTCGGGCTTGGGAGTGCCATGGCAGTACAGCTTGAACCAGAAGCTGTTAAGTTGCTGCGAAGTTGGATGCTTGGATTGCGAGCCCCTTGAGGGCAGCCCAATGCAGTGGCAGCATCATACCACGCATTTTGGGAACGTTGGGGTCCATGCTTAGTAGGTGTTGTGCTGAGCCCTTTCCAATGCTCATCGTCAATGACCGGCAGCCGAAAAAGGAGCAGCAACATCAACTTCTTGCAAGGTCGCAAGGTCAGTAGTTCGCAGTTCAGAGAAACGCCAATCGTGCACCTGCGCCTCTGGTTTGTCCGCTTCCTCTGCCAGGTCCTCCATCGATGCGGGAGACACAGGTTCCGTGTTGGCAGAGACACTGTACACATCCGGCGGGGTTTGGACAAGCAGGCTTTCGTTGCTGCTCCCGCAGCTTCGAGACGCTGAGCACGTGGGTGCCAACGTCCTCCTCTTGGTCACGGACATCCCCTACTTTATACGGCATCTCGTTGCACGAATGCAGTGGGAAGGAACTTATAGGGAAACGTGGTTCCCTATCTTTGTGAACACTCTAGAGGCTGGACAAGCGGCAGTGCACTTCACGTGGGCGGGGCCTGAAATCATGACTGTTCTCAGGGTTCTGGCGCCAGGTACTGTCCTGATATTGCTGGATCATGACACCCTCTTCACCGCCAGATGGGAGGCTGAGGAGCTACGGCGCTTTGCAGTTCTGGACCTCCTGCCCAGTTCCCTGTCGGTGGAGCCTTTAGGTAAAATGGACGTGGAGGTGGACGAGACACAGCCCTGTGGCTCGCTTCCATCCTCTCCTTGGAGCTGTTCGCCGGATAGATACATTCCGTCCGGAGCCCGGTCACCTAACTCCATTGGCATGGTTTGTGCGTCGGAGGATCAGCTTGAGGCCAATGGGGGGTTGGTGATCTTCTACCCGGATGCCCCTGATGCATCGTGCCCGCAACCTCCTTCGGCATTCCGCGCATTGCTGTTGAAGCTGTGGACATCGTGCGTGCGGCGTTGGCCCGCGCGTTTACGAGACTCATCCTCCCCAGTGGAGTGCCCACTCCATTGCCTGGCATGCCTGTTGACGTAACCCTGGACAGAGTCCACCACCGGCAAAGTTCCCGCCAAGGGCACTGCGCTGCTGGTCACTCTGAGCGAAGGCAGTCGTGACACGACCTACCCAGGTGTGTTCATTGAGCTTACCGCCCTTAAGAAGCTTCGTACCAACGCGGGCGAGACCAAAGCAATGCAGCCCGTAAACCTAACAATTGCCCTGCTACTGTCGGATGATCAGCGCAACCACCTGGTGAATCAACATACCTTGCCCAGGGTCAGCCAGCTGGAGGTTCTCCCTGGCGGAGCTTCTACCCCGCTTTGGGATGCGTTGCTGCACATGCCTAAGGAGCGACAGCATGTCGCTCTTGGAGTACAGCTGGCGGACTCCCCATTGGAAGCATTCGCCAGCCGTATTGGCTGCCGAATTTTCTCACGGATCTTGTGCTTGTTCTTCCAAGAGCATTGGCATGACTCGTGGGCCCATCTTGTCCACCCTGTAGTCTGTCAGGTTCTCAGGGGAAGGCATGGCACGCAAGTCAGCCAGGCCTCTCGTCTTGATGGGATAGGCTATGACGATCCTCTAAGTAGCCTCCTAGCAAGCTGGCTAGAGGAGGACAAAGTCTATGCTGAAGAATGGACTCCGCAGTTGCTGGCCGGACTCTAGATACCCTGCCTGTTGCACCGCTGCCCAGCTCAGCCAAGAGGACGCCCGAACTCCTGCGCTGTGGCATGCGGAACGTTTAAGCCTAAGCCCGAACTCGTTAAGCAATGAGCAAGACCCCAGGAACCGAGCCAGTGTCTTTGCACTTGCGGCGGGGCCGTCCTTCCTCCCGTGTCTTTGTGACACTTTTTGGGGGGCGGACGGGCATCTTGCGGCGTTAATTGGAACCTGCTCTTACGGTTTGGGTGCCAATCGCTCCTCTGTCTTTGTTACTGGTGCCCCCGGCAGCGGCAAAACACGTTCGTGTGCGTTCCTGGGAATACTTGTTGCTTGCCTGACCAACAGACTCACCCTCTACACCGCACATGGCAACGAGTCAGCGCGAGCCTACATCGAAGCCGTTGATCGGTTAACCGCTGCAAGCCATGATTTCGTCCGCAGTCGCATCATTCGCGTCCCGGCCAGTAAGGAAAAGGATACGCAGAGTGGACTTGTCCAGCGGAGTGTGTTTCAGGTAGTGTGCCTTTTTGATTTTGGGTGCATTTATTCCAAAATCTCTGGTTTTGTATTGGGTTTGCTTGAACTTGACGTAGCGGCCCGCGCATGTTCAAGCTTGCTGGCAGCATTGAAAATTTTTGTTGCCGTAACAACTTTAGGGCGGCCTTCCTTCGGCCTCCTTTGATGCCTGTGCCAGACGCTTCTCTATTTTCCACTGCTGATGATCTTAACCTTTTGATCGAAACGTGGGGCTTTACGATGGGCTCTCCTGAGTGGCTGTTAGTCCATGATATTCTCTCGAAGTCTCTGAGAGGGCTTCTATGGCTACATTGGCGACTTGGGCTGGAGTTGATCGTGAGCGCAAGGAGTATCTTGGACGTTGGAAGATCGTTGAGTCTTCCGATGTCTATGTGAGGTCTGCTTGGTTTGTTGTTACGACTTTGCAGCGGTTTCTTGTGCGGTCTTGTACAAGCATGAAAGAGTTACTGAGCTTGGGCATTGGTGAGATACAGGAGAGGTTGAAGTCATTCGGCTTGGAGGATGCACTTGCACTGGCTGGGGCAGAGCAACTACAGATGCCACGTGAGTGGGCATTATGGAGGGGCCGCGCCTTTCTCGGTCAGCAACCCATCGACTTGCAACGCCTTTCGACTCCTGAGGTCTTACAGGAACGAGGCCCCGAGCGTGAGTCCCGCTTTTTCATTTCAGTGCTAGGGAAACGGAAGCTTCGCAGGTTGCACCGATCCGGGGCATGTTGCACTAGGCCCGAACGTGTAGCCTGTTGTGAGTTTTATGACGTGCTTGAGGGTGTGCCGTATGATGTGGAATGCAAGCATTGTTTTCGACCGGAGCGTCGGGAACAGGAGGCTCTTCAGGAAGAGGAGTCTGATGCTGATGAGGATAGCTCCTCTAGTTCTTCTTCCGAGAAAGAATCTAGCTCGGAGGGGAGCTGAGCATGATGTGTGCGAACACTTCAGCGTGCTGCAGAGAAATTTCAATACGGCTTCGTGCCTTCTTCATGTGGATCGTTTCATTCCTGGGCTTGTGATCTGCAGTTGGTTCATGCTGGAACGTGACGTGTCAGGGCATGAGCATGTCCTGTACGTTCTGAACGGTTCCCGCGGCTCCCGGTCGCGCCAGAGTTCTGGTGCAGGGATTGGGCGAGATGGGCCAGTTGGGTCTGTCTCAGAACCTTTTGTTCAAGGCTTTGATAGTTCAAGCATGGGAGCTTTGACAGCGGATCAGAAGAGGCATCTTGCAACCTTGAGCACCGATCTGCGTTTCCAGCTGGCCCAGGCTGAGGTCACGCCTGTTAATCAGGCACGTTTGGGTGAGCTTGGCATCCGAACTTTGGTTCTATTTGCAGGTCTGGATGAATCTCGCGAGCGAGTCCGCGCGGCGCTCGCAAGTGAGCTCCCTCTTGACGTGCAAGCTTCTCTGGCCAACCGTCTCGAAATGGCACGTCTGATTTCAGCCTGGGGGCCTCGAAATTGCATCTCGAGGTGAATGAGAAGAACAGAGCCGAGTCACGTCTTGGAACTCAAAATCGATTGGTTCAGCCGAGTGAACAACATTCCATGCGCGTGGCGGTGGAGGCTGTCCTGGGTTCTTTGAAAGACAAGGAAGTTCCTTCGCGATCGTTCTTGGCGACCAAGCTTGAACAGATCGAGGCCAATCAACCGGCGGTGGAGTGTCTCACTGAGGTGGCCTCGTTGGAGGATTCCGAGCTTGAAATGTATTCAGCGGTGATCGACCCTGCTACAAACGTCTTGAAGATCAAAACTGGCAAGACGTTGACTTCAACCCCGCAGTCCCCCGAGGAGTTGCGTCTTCGTCACCGCAGGATCGGTCTCGCCTGGGACATGCTCGCGACTAAACATTCCAATCGCAATTGGCTTTCAAAGAACATGACTGACACTTTCAGGCGCTTCAGCGATTATGTTCTGGGCCAGCAGGTCGCCGGCCTTATGGCAGGTGATGGTCGACGCCCTACTTGGAACTTGGTTTTGCAGTTTGAGCATGAAGCCCGCAAGGCCGCCTACAAGTGGTTGCGGGACGGCGAAGTCACGGACCTGGAGGCGGCTTTCAAGAGGGCTACTACGGATACGGAAGTCTTGCAGCGTTACTTGGTGATTCCCTTCTCCTTGAATATCACGGCTGCCTCGGTTGTGCAAGTGGACGTTCCTCCTCCTTCGGCTGCTGGTTCGCCTCCTCGTGCACGGGGGCGAGGCCGAGGGCGTGGCCGTAGTGGGGTCAGGACTCAGCCTAAGGATTCACAGCAGACCAAGGGCAAAGCTCTTCGCACTCCGGATGGCCAGCCTCTTTGCTGGCGGTACAATCGCCAGGGTGGGTGCAATGATGCTAATTGTCGCTTTGTCCATGCCTGCCAGAGGTGCTTTGGAAAACACGGGTATTATCAATGCAGTCAGGTCAAGCGCGATACCGTTTCCCGCTGACTTTCGGCCGACACTTCGGCCAACGCACGAGGGCGTGCTGATCTCAGTGTGCTCTACCTCTTTGCTGGTGAACCACGCAAAGGGGATATTCGCAGCTGGTTGGAAAAAGAATCGTCCGGCCGCAGTTTCCATTTAGTGGAAATTGATGTTGCTCGCAATACGTCACACAATGTCTTGCACGACGAGTTCTGGGAGGACATTCTTGAACAGGTCCGCTCCGAACAGTTTGACTTGATTCTTTTGAGCCCGCCCTGCAACACCTACAGCAGGGCTTCTTTTTCGAATTCACCAGGGTCCGTACCTCTGCGCAATGCAGACTGGCCGGAAGGCTTTCCGTGGCTCACTGGCCGCCTGAAGGACAAGGCTCAGGCGGGAACGGAGTTGCTGCGGCGCGCCCTCGACTTGGCTGCCGTGGCTTCAGAAGTTGGGGTTCCTTGGTTGCTTGAGCATCCAGAATTTCTCGGTACCACACCCCGAGGCACGCCTGCCTCGGTCTGGACTTGGGCTTATTCGCGAAAGTTCTTCGAACAGAATGCTGTCGCGACTGTCGTTTTTCATCAATGCGCCTTTGGGGCCCCTTATGCCAAGCCTACAAGGCTTGCAGGCACCTGGCCGAACCTGGGCACCCTGGGTTTTCGAGGGTGGCCTCAATTAGATCGCAATGGTTGCTACCGGGGCCCTTTGCCCAAATCTTGCGGTCATGATCACCCCCCTTTGCTTGGCTTTCTTGAGGACGGCACTTTTGCGACTGCACCTACAGCTGCTTATCCTTCCGGCCTGTGCCGGGCTCTGGCGTTGCTGGCTTGGCAAGTGGATGATCCTTCCAGGTCCTCGGTGGGGGGGTCTTCTCTTCGGTCCCTGGATACCACGGAGAATGCTAACACTGGCGCTTTCTTGTCTGATGTTGAAAAAGCAGCTGCTTCACTATTGATTCCCACCAGGGGAGAGATCGTACAACTCTTCGAGCTCCTTCCGGGAGATCCCCCGGCGAGGGGCGAGCCTGGCCCTGACTCGAAGTCCTTCACGGTGGGGGCTTTTTCAAGAGGAGGGGGTCTGGCTGGCATTCGCTCCAACACTGACAAATTTCCGGAGTTCACCAAGATGCTTTGTCGTTTCATCGATGCACTGCAGCCGGGCTTCGAATACACTGCAGCGGCCATCTTTCGCAATCTTCGGACGGCTCCACACAAGGACACCGGCAACTTGGAGGGCTCTTATAATCTTGTGATTGGCCTTTCGTGTTTTTCTGGTGGCGAGGTGTGGGTTGCTTCGGGGTCGGGTTCGGTTGCTTGTCCTTTCGAGGGTTTTTCTGTGACGGGGGATCTGCTTGAAGTTGCCTCCTCTTTCTCGATTTTCAACCCCAGAGATCTGCACTGCACAGCGAAGTGGAAGGGGACGAGGGTCGTCCTTGTGGCATACACGCCATTTCTTGGCGAGGCACTGACAGAGGATCACCGTCGGCGCTTGGCTGCTTTGGGGTTTACGCTTCCGGGATTTGTTGGGACTGACAATGCGCCGCTACGAAACTTGGGCACGAACGATGATGCTGTGGGTACCGCTGAGTGGTGGCGGTCTTTGCCGGGCGAAGAAGCTGAACACCTTGAGGTGCAAGGAGGCGACGTGGGGGATGACACTTGTGACGACCCTACGTCTGATGAGGACGAAGATGGTGTGAGAAAGCCACTCTATGGGCATGGCTGTCTGGGTCAGGGGCCTCCACTGCGGTCTCGACTTTCGGGCCGAGTGCGTTGGTTCTCAGATGGACACGGACTGGCTTCACCAGGGCGCTGGCCTCCCCCGAAGAGGCCCACTGCTGCGTCACATGGCTGTCTTTCGCTTCACAAAGAAATCATGGACGGTCTCCTGGCTTTACTGTCGCGTTCGCTGGACATTAAGAAGGTCGTCTGCGCTTTGGCCACGGGGAGGATGACATCTTCCCCCTTTGCATCGGGACTGATCGATTCTGGGAGGACGCTGGTTTTTGATAAGCTTCGGCAGGCAGGGGTCAACCGCACAGATCTCTGTGGTTCCTGACCGTCAGCCATTTTTCCTTGGTGCCATTGGCGAACTGCTGCGACTCGCTGGCGACCCAGACTGGAGGCGGTATACCGAGGCGACGTGGTCTTTCGCTGCAGGGGTTCCTCTTGGGGTCGGAGTCCGGCTTCCCCGGACTCCGGCTCTGTTTGAACGCAAGCATAAACATCGTGCTTTTCCCGGGGTCGATGAGCCGCTGCCCGACTTGCCGAGGGAGAATTACCCCTCTGCGCAGGAGCATGCTGAACGGGTTGATTTTCAGTTTCAGAAGGAGATCTCTTGTGGTGCAATGGTCGAGATGGACTTGGCCGAGGCGCAGGAAGAATTCGGCGAGGCCCTGAGTATTGCTTCGCTTGGTGCGCTTCTCAAGCCGGATGATTCTGTTCGAGTCTTGCACGACGGAACGCATGGTGTGCACTTAAACGACTCGATCAAAGTACGGGATGCACAATCGTATCCTACTGGGGGCGATCTCTCGGTGGCACTTGAAGAACTGCCGGCCGCATACTTTTCTCTCTCAGGAGATATCTCTCGTGCGCATCGTTTAGTAAAGGTGAGGCGGGCCGATTGGGCCAGGCAGGCCTGTCGGGCATCACGTCATGACAAAGTTTACCTCAACGCTGTTGGAACCTTTGGCGTTTCATCTGCGAGCTACTGGTGGTATCGCTTGTTTTCTGGGTTGGGACGTTTGCTGTACTACTGCCATGGGGTTGATGAAACGACGCTCCTATCTTACGTGGACGACTTACTGTGGATTACCCAGTCTTCGGATGGCTTGGCGCGCATCCTGGCATCGATCCTTTTACTTGAGATTCTCGGCGTGCCTTGGGCTTGGCATAAGTTCAAAGGGGGAACGGAGCATTGCTGGATTGGATTTTCGATCTTTGCGCACAAGAGACTTCTGGGCTTTTCTCAGGCCCGGTGTGACTGGGCAGTGAATTGGATACAACGTGTCAGGGCTGACGGCTTCGTTAAGATTGCGGACTTGGAGGCGGTCATAGGACGCCTTTCGTTTGGCTTCACTGTTTTACCACTATTGCGCCCTTTTCTGGGGCCGCTCTATGCGTGGGTGAGTGCAGTGAGGCATTGCCATACTTTGCGGCTCCCGAAAGCTGTAGCTATGATTTTGGCGTTCATCGAGAAGGTGCTTCTTCAAGGGTTCCGTACAATCACTGTGCCTCGGGCCAAATCTGTCCCTCAGGAACTCTTTCGCACTGATGCAAAGGCAGAGGGTTCGGAGATGTGGTTGGGAGGTTGGGCCTGCAGTGATGCTTCAACGCCTTGGGGGTGCAGGTGGTTTGCTGAGAAAGTCCAGCATACTGACGCTCCTTGGTTTTATCAGGCTGGCCAGTCATACCGCTCCATCGCTGCACTAGAGCTTTTGTCGACGTTGGTTGCTGTCCACTTGTTTGCACCTTTGCAACCGACGAGCGCGACTTTTACCTGTTCCGCCGCGACAGACAATCGCGGCAACAGTTTCTTGACATCACGGTGGCTCACTACTTCCTTTCCTTTATGCGTGGTGCTCATGGATTTGGCGGCAGTTCTTCAGTCCAAGTCGCTCATGCTGGATTTGCACTGGGCCCCTAGATTTCAGAACACTTTGGCAGACTCTCTTACGAATCAAGACTTTAAAGACTTCGACCCGTCCAAAAGGGTTCGCTTCGATGTATCTCAATACCGTGGTTTGGTGCTGCGTGAACTTCTAGAGTCTGGCGCCGAACTTTACACTGAGCTTGCATCTTGGAAGAAGCGAAAGGGTGGCATTTTGCCACAGAAGAAATCGAAGACAGAGAAGCTGGCTGCAACCGACCCGTGGAGATGATGTGCGTTGCTGCTCGTCATTCTTGCGAAAGGGGGGGCGTGTTCAGGTTGCGAGCTGCAACTTGTTTGTATGTGGCGGTATGTCACGTACAGCTGCTCCCTTCTCACACAACTGCACGTTTTGTGATTCGCAGCAAAAGTGGTCAGTGCGTTTGCAGCTTCTTGACACGTTCTGCATTGACAGGCATGTTCATGTCACATTCTCTCGGGGGCTGTTCTCGAATTGTTCTAGTCCTCTTGAGTTTGCGTTGTCTTCATTCTTGGTGGTGCATTAAGCAAAACCGCCACCCTATTTCATGTAAAACTCATTGCCTTGAGTTTTTCCCTTTGGGCTTCACTTTCCAGAAACACGCAAAGTGGACTTGTCCAGCGGAGTGTGTTTCAGGTAGTGTGCCTTTTTGATTTTGGGTGCATTTATTCCAAAATCTCTTGTTCTGTATTGGGTTTGCTTGAACTTGACGTAGCGGCCCGCGCATGTTCAAGCTTGCTGGCAGCATTGAAAATTTTTGTTGCCCACCCACCCATCCCTGGGGCGTGTTCAGGTTGCGAGCTGCAACTTGTTTGTATGTGGCGGTATGTCACGTACAGCTGCTCCCTTCTCACACAACTGCACGTTTTGTGATTCGCAGCAAAAGTGGTCAGTGCGTTTGCAGCTTCTTGACACGTTCTGCATTGACAGGCATGTTCATGTCACATTCTCTCGGGGGCTGTTCTCGAATTGTTCTAGTCCTCTTGAGTTTGCGTTGTCTTCATTCTTGGTGGTGCATTAAGCAAAACCGCCACCCTATTTCATGTAAAAACTCATTGCCTTGAGTTTTTCCCTTTGGGCTTCACTTTCCAGAAACACCTACAAGCTTCCCTTCGACGCACATGATGCGTTCCGGGGATTGCTAGTGGCAGCGACACATGGGACTATAGTTGCTCGACAGATTGATAGCTGGACCCACAATAGCCTTTAGTCCCGCGGCTTGCATGACCGTTTCGGCCTGCTTTGGCTTAACACAGCTCAGGCAGAGGATGGCTTCCAGCATGGAGTTGGCCGAAAACCCAGACTCCGTACAGTCAGGGTGCAAATTTGGTTTGCCCCAGGAAGGCATATCTCCTTGCCCTTTTTTCCACGGTCCGGGGCTATTAAGCGTTTGCCTTAACAGTGCATCTGGGAGCGTGGCAGGCGTATACAGATCAGCTGGGACGGCATTGAGGCCGCAGGTTTTTTGCTCCAGGAGCTCCGTCACATAGTGGTAATTCGGTCGGGATCCTCCCGCCGGCTGCCTGGGCTAGAATGGTGTTGGAGCCGGGTGTGCCCAGCTGCTGTGCTTCATCCCTGAGCAGAAGCTCCACATCCTTCAACCTGTTAATGAGCACCGAGTATGGGAAGCTGAGCCGCTTTGCTCCTCCATGCGCCTCCCCCCGGAAATTTCTGCTGTCTTGTGTGCCTGCACTCGGAAGCCTGCACTTTCGAGTTGAGGGGACAGGTTCCCTGTCTTCGCATGCCACCAGGCCCCAATTTGCAACATCTGCTTGCGAGACCGTTACGCAGCAGAGTCAAAGCAAACTGGGCAGCAGTTACGACCTCAGCTGGTTGCTGGCCGACATTGTACTCACCTTTGGACACCAGGTTTTCGCCGGAGCGCCCATTGGGCTGGTTTTTTCAGTATGCGACAATCGTGGTCCAAATGAAGTTTCTGTTGCGTTCCAGTGTTCTAGAAGACCAGCTGGGTGAAGTTCATATGAGCCTCATGGAGGCATGTCAAACTTCAAAGGACTTCATGCCCGATTTTTTCGGATTCCTCGAATTGGCCGCCGCCCGCGTGTGCCCAAACCGGTGCCCAAACCGGTGCCCAAACCGGTGCCCAAACCCCCCCAACGCTCACCGCCGTTACCTGGTACCGGGGTCGGTCGCAAGCCCCCAAGGCCCGTGATCCTCCCACCGAGCCCGCCGCAGGACAAGAAAGATCCGGTACTCTATTTTGCGGGTTTCCATGGCACCTCTACTCAGAATGCACAGTCTATCTTGGCACAGGCAATGTTCAGACCAACCCTGTGGCATGGCCATCCAGACTGGACCGGGGTTTATCTTGCCCTGGATATCGATGTTGCTAGAGGCTATGCGCAGAATGACGATGGCACACCCGGACAGGTTCTGTTCGCTTATGTCCCAGATGATCCAGAGATTCAGCCGGGTTTGGACTATTACGACCGAAGTGTCAACGACTCAAACCTCGCTCCCAGTGACCGAGGGCATGTAGAACGGACATGGATGACATCATCGCGCTTGATTCCTTTCGAGGCGCAAATCCCCGGAGCGCCTGACTTGCCACTTTTCTGGGAAGCTCCGGGATCGTCCTGAACAGAAAGGACTTTTTTGCCAAGCCAGTGGCTGAGGCCCTGAGGTGATGAGGAATCCCACATCCAGGCACCAGCAGCCATATCGCAATGACATAATGATAGACATCCTCTTGGTGGCTTGATCTGCGTGTTCTACTTTCCTTTATGTGCCGAATACCTACGTACACAGGCCAGCCTTTGGAGCCTTGATGGCCCCGGCATTGCGAAGGAGTCGAATAAGCAGGCCTTTCGGGAACAAAGGGTGGCGAGCATTGTGCTGCCCACGGATCGCAGGGTCGGGCTGGATCTGTTTGGAACGCCACCCCTTGCCCAGGCGTGGGCGCTGAAGGCTACTTGGGGCGAGGAGCACGTGGTCTTGTACCGCGTGCTCAGTCTGAAGGCTGGGGCCGTCCCCCCGTCCTACACATCCAACTCCTACTCAGGCACTTTGACCAGCTTGCGGGCGCGTGGATTTGTTCTGGAGCCGCTGCCCAATGCGGTTTACTGCGTTCCCTTTCAATCCGCGCGTGAGTGCGACGGCGTTGCTAAGTATCTTACCCACCTGCTGGGGGATGCCAAAATTCTGACGCCGCCCCGGAAGGGACCTGCCCCTCGAGTGGATCCGTCCTTTGAGCACAAAGCGGGCATACAGCAAGCTCCACAAGGCCTTCGCCTCCTTCCTGTGCGGGCTGGCCAACTCACTTCTGAATCGGCCATCGAAGTGGACTCTCCGGGAAACAGCCCTGTGCCCGCGGGAAGTGTCTGCACAAGTATGGCGGCAGTGCCGAAAGCTGATGTCCCTGCACAGCGTAGCCGTACGGACTCTGGCGAGCCTGGTGTGGGTACGCTAAGGGCTGGGCGGTGGAGTACACCGTGGCTCAAGCCTAGCCCTATGGTTCGGTGGCGGTTCGTCAGTCCGCCGCCGCCCTCACGCAGGGACGCGTCGCGCACTCCGTGTGGCACGCCGAGAAAGGCCAGGGAGCCGAGGGGGTTCATGAGTTGGCCCTGTCCCCTCACTGGGAGGCTTGGCACAGGGTCTGGCTTGGGGGTTGCTCCTCCGATCGGCAGGTCATGACCCTGGGGAGGGTAAGCCAGCCGGTCCTCCGCAGCCCGAGGACTAGGAACAGGCTGAGGGCTGGCAGCGGCCTCCTAGCCTCCTCAGGACGCACGTTGACCAATTCCGCGAAGGCATGCCTTCGGATTATCTCCGGCCATCGCAAGCGTGTAGTCTCGAGCATGGCTTCGTTCGTCGAGTGCATAGCTCAATCGATGTTTGCTGTGATTAATCACTTTTCGGGAGAGGGGGAAGGGTTCTTATGGACTGGAGGAGGAAGCTTTGGTTTTGCTTTCTCGGGTATTTGTGCTGGTTTGTGTTTCGGTTCTTGTTGTTAATGGTCTCTTGGCGCTCTGCTTCTGGGTGGTAAGTTAGCTTGTTGGAAGAAGCGGGTGCTCTCTAGTGCAGTCTTGAACGAACGGGCTGTACAAGACTATACGCTGAGGAGCAGCTTTAAATTGAGTATGCGTGCGTGCGCTCGTGCCACGCTAGCTGGACTTGGCTGATTTCGGTGCCGAGGTGCATGACTGTAAAACGCCGTCAGGCATGGATGCAGGTTCGACTCTCTTTTTTTTTGCAGCTGGGCGCACGTGCTCTGCAAGCTTTCGTCAGCTGATATGCTTCGTTATGTGCGCACCTACGGGACTTTTTCCATGGCGCTCAGCATTTTGCTGGGCACCTTTCCTATGCAGCACTCGCAGAGCTGCAGGACAGGCTGCTGCGCCGAGCCGCTGGTGTTCGGGTAAGAGCGTCTCTTAGTTGAAACTCGCCACTACTGCCGATGCCAGTTGCGGGGCCTTTCCGTGGATGTAGGCGTCCACCACGTTGTTGATGCAAGCGTGCTTCCTTGGCGCGTGCATCGGGGAGGGTTCGGGTGGGTCTATATCGCTTGAGATGTTGCGATTGCGTTCTGTATGATGCTTGCGACAATGAACACGAAGCCAATATTAAAGGATCAGGAAGAAGGAAAATACTGCAAACTGGGCCTTCGACTGCTTTGCAGTCAGGCCGTTCCAGAACTCGGCCATGAAGTGGATGGATAAGTATATGTTCCCCTCGATGATCACGGCGACGCTCACGGTCTGAGGCATGTTGCGGTGCATGCGTGTCTTTTGATACGTGATATGTGCGGCGCTGCTACGATTGGATACTTACAGACTTACAGTATCTTTGGAGTGTACTTACCCGTCCTGCCTCGGTGTCCTGTGCATCGGGCGGCACGAAGAAGAGGGACTCCACGGCTTCGTCCTGAGCAGTCGGTGCGAGTTCGTGAGACAATGAGAGAGAGACAGACAGAGAGAGAGAGAGAGAGAGAGAGAGAGAGAGAGAGAGAGAGAGAGAGAGAGAGAGAGAGAGAGAGAGAGAGAGAGAGAGAGAGAGAGAGAGAGAGAGAGAGAGAGAGAGAGAGAGAGAGAGAGAGAGAGAGGGAGAGATCGATCGGGAGAGGGAGAGAGGGCATTGTCCGGGCCCGCTGCGTTGTTGCTGTCGTTGTGAGTGGCGTCGCTCGTGTTTCTGCTTTGTTTGACCTGGCACGTTCTTATTGCCAATCTTTTTGCGAGCGCGCGTGCGAGGCTTGCATGGTCTGCTGTGCGGCTTGCTTGGGCGAGGGCTCTCTTTTC